TAACTAAAAGATTATCTATTTAAACTTTTTAATTATAATCTTATTCTTTTTAGTAGAGTCTTCTAACTCAATTATATATATAAATAATTATAAATTTTTGTTTATAATTTTTCTTCAAAGTAAACCTACTAAAGTCTTTTATTTCCTATTCTGGCTGACTAATTATTGAAGTTATCAAGACTCCTATTTTCATTTAAAATAAACTTATTTAACTTCTATATTCTTGTAGAGTTTATTTAAACTCTAGTATTTTTATATTTCACTTTTTCTAATTTGTAAACTTCTATTTCTAGCTTTTAAAGTATCTTAATTTAATAGTTTAGAAAATTGAGTTAAATTTTTAGTTTATAGTTGATTCAATTCTAATATATACTTCTGTATTATATATTATTTTTTTTTAAAAGTATAGTTGCACCTCTCTAAGTATACACGTCTTGAAAATATAGTGAAAAAAATGTAAAATGTGTACTTAGAGGAGATGTGCACTTAGAGAGATTAAATTTTATAATTGTTATATAAGTTGGAACCAAGTAGAGACGTGCATATTAGAGAAGTTTTTCATATACCATGTACTTAGAGAATATGCACTTAGAGGGGTCTGATTATACTTTGTATTCTCACTTTTGAGAGCCTTTTATGTTCTTATTTCAAGTTTAAGTATTTATTTTGTAGTTTTAGTGTTTGTATAGCATTGTTAAAGGTTTGTATTATCTCTCTATTCAGTTTTTTTTAAGCTAGGTTCTAATTTTCTAAACCTCTTTTGGTTTTTTACAGTCTTAGAAGATTTATTATAGATTTGTATTACTTATTCTAGTTTGCATTTCTCTATATAACTTTAGTATTATGCAAATACTTCTAAAACCTTTTAGTACACAAATATACTAATTTAACTAAAATTACAAATACTAAAACACTACTAATTGATAAAGATTAGTTACTATAATACAAGATAATTTTTAAAAGATTGCTTGTAAAATTTAAACTCTATTCTTTTAGTTATAAAGATTTTGAATATAGTAACTAACTAACTATGCTAGGTTGCTACATCTATATAATTATACTATTTTTTTTTTTTAGAATTAAGATAAGGTTTTGCTCTATAACTTTATTATTATAATATGTATGTATATATTATATAATATATGCATATCTATTTTTACAAATATATGAATGACTCAGACAAATTATAACTACTATCTGTAATCTAAACCTACCAGAATATTATATTTTGTATTATATACAGCCTGGATTTGGCTACTATATTCTACTTTATACTCATTACTATATTTTATATTCTTCACTTCTCTTATACTTACTATATGCAACTTTTAAAGTTAATACTCTCTTAAGAAAAGAGCCTAGTAATCTTATGATTACTTCTAAACTTGGTTAAACCAAAGCTATAATAATGCTATATCTAATTTCTTGTACCCAGTATAGCCCAGTTTCTTGATATCATATATATATTATATGTATTGCCAATTCTTAATAACAAATACTTCTATATGTTAGTAGAGATTTTTTATAATTATAAAAGCTATATTTCTACTTCTAGTGATATTTTTGTAAAATAGTTTTTTCAAATTGTTACAAAATTCTTTCTATATATATTTAGTATTTTCATTGCTCCAATATTTTAAATTATAAAACATTAGAAGTATAGATCTAATTAGGACTTGTATACTATAATACTTTTAAATTAATTACTTGGTATTTAAATTTGCTAGTTTTCTTCTTTTATTCATGTATTGCTATACTTCTAGCCTAGTACTTCTAGCTATTTTAGGTTTTTATATATATTTCAAGTTTTAACCAACTCTCTATAAAAATTTATTCTTTTTTAAATTAGGCAAGTAGTATATTCTAGAGGTATTTCTAATCTAGTGAGGCCAATTCTTTACTATATAACCTTTTGTATCTACTACTTTTCTTATTACTTCAAGCTCAAAAATAGTTGTATTACTTTCTAAACAAAGATTTCAAAGCTACTTTAAAGTTGTTAGTACTATTTTGTATATCACACCAAGGATTTATATATACAACCTTTCTATATTAAGATCTTTTGTAATGCTGCTACTATATATAGTGCCAACTTTCTCTACAATAGACCTCTTTCTGAAAATTTCTTTTCTAGACTAGTACTTCACTTAAACTTTTCTATGTGAGTATATCCAAATATTTCTAGAAACTGTTTTAGTAGAACTTAAACCCAATACTTGCTTATAAAGAGTTGGGTATTTAGACTACTATATTACAAAATTCTAACCTTTGTAATTATTCTATTTATAAATTTTACTATACTATAATTTATATAAATTTTTATAATTCTAAAAATAGCATACAAAACTTTTTTAAAAATAATATAAAAAAGTTAAAGATTTATAATTTTTTAGCTAAAAAAAATTAAAAAAAATAATAATATAGTAAATATATATACAAGACTAAAAATAATTAAAATAAGTTGTAAGTAAGACAAAGCTAGTTAATTGTATATTTATTTTAATAATTATATTATTTAAAAATTTATTATATAAGGTGTGGCAACTTAGTAAAGTAGTGAAGTTATCACACTCCCAAATAGCAGATCTAAAGTTCAAATCTCATAGATAATATTATTAAAAAATAGTACTGTAATACAGTTAATGGCTATTCAATGATTGTAGAATCTAGAAATCTATAACCTCAGTTACACTATCTAGAATAGAAGCTTTGATGCAATAAATCTAAGATACCAAAATAACCAAAAACCTATTTGGAAAGTCCTAAGTTAAAAGGTGATACAATCTTTGATAGTGCTATAGGAAGACCAAATTTGGAACCAGATTAGTTTTAACTTGCAATTTAGATATAGTTGGTGGCCCTCAGACATGGCACTTGTCATTTAAAGATAGTTCTCATATGCTATCTGCCAACATGTTTAGAGTTTATCACTTACCAATAAGTCTCTCTAAAATTTTAATAGTCTAGAGAATTATTACAAGCCTAATAAAGTTAAGGCATGACTGCCAAATAAGTAAAAAAAAAAAAAAAAAAAAAAAAAAAAAATTGTAAAAAAGCAGATATTAATAAACTATAAAATATTAAAGATAAATATTTATATTTATATTGTATTTTAAAAATAAAATATTTTAAAACTTATTATAATTAATTAAAAATCAAAACAATAGTAAAATAAAGTAAAGTTTTAATACCAATAAAATATTTTTTTTAAGAGTATTAATTTGGTTGATTTGTTAAAACAAATCATACAATTTATTTAAACTAATATTAAATTTTATAGAATTATATACAAAAATCTAATTTTAGATATATTTAATAATAATTGAATAATATTATATATATGATTAAAAAAAATTTGATAAACATAAAAGCAACTAATAAAATAACTTATTTATATAAAATACTGTGAAATTTTATATAATTATAGTATAATAAATTTTTTTTTTTAAAGTTAAGATAATCTCTAGGCCTAGTGACTTTTTATTAGATAATTAACAATATTACAATTATAATAAGAGTATAACTAGCTATATGTACAACTTTTGATTAACTATTTTAAGTAGTCTGCTCAGAGTTCTACACTAACCACTATATTTGCAATATAACTAGCAAATTATCTATTTAAACTTTCTGGTTATTAATAAGAATACAACTAGCCACATATACAACTTTTAATTGTCTAATTAAAGAGTCCACTCCAGATTCTATACTAGTTGCTATATCTATAATCTAACTAGAAAGTTATCTATTTTAAACTCTTTGATTACAACTGATCTATCATTCTTTATCTAACCAAGGTATAACTTACTATTCTTAGCTAGATTTTGTACCCAACCTAAAACTGATTTATTCTTAAAATAAATTTAACAGAGCAGTACATGTTCTACACATATATTTACCTGCATGTTTGGTAACTTCTTCCTAACTAGTACTGTTGTGTTGCTGCTACCAAGTTTATGTTTTAAGCTATCTTTTAAAATATTGCTATAATCTGATCTGTATCTTAAACTACAACTTTTCTATATTAGTAGTTGGTTACTTACTCCTTGCTCTTGTATTTGGGTTCATACAACCCCAGTACTCATATTTGAACTTTCTTTCTAATGAATATGTCAAGTTCTAAAATATGTGGATTGATAATAAAATTCTTCAAATTGAAACCAAAAAATATTATAAAGATTTATGTGAAAAATCATCAAAAATTATTTATTATTACTTGAAAATATCAGTACAAATAAATCAAGCTTATTAAAGAGTGAATTAAAATATGAAATAAATTAATGTTCTAATACTTCCCAAAAAATGAATCAAAATTATATTATTGGGAGTTCAGAGAAGTTGAAGACGAACTTGAAGTTCTGAAAAATGTTGAAAAAAGGGTCATGGTACTGAAGAATGTATCTTCAATAAGAATCTGGGAGTAGAAACTATATAGGTTTATATGAAAAATTATAGAAAAAATCTCTTTATTTAAAATGTTGATTTGGAAACTACATGTTTTAGTTGACATATTTATACTGTACTTTATTCAAGACTTATTATCAAACTTTTAGCACGTATCATAGTAAAGGTTATCATTATTCTGGTCACAAAAATTTTGAAAATTATAAAATTATAAAAAGAAATAGCATGAATATTTATTTTGTATCGGAAGCTAAAGGTTTGAAAAAAGAGAGAAAATATACTTTTTTGAAAAAATAAAGACTCGATTTGAGTAAGAAATAGCTTTAAAAATTTATAATTTTATTATCGCTATCTTAGAATTTTTATTCAAATGACTTGGTTGACTGATTAATGCGCGATTAATGATTTTGGTGAGGATTTGGTCTACGTTCGTGCGATCTCTTACCGTACCATTCCGAAATTAAGCACCCTTTTTTTGCATGTAATGCTTTCCAAGATCATTATAATACAGGCCAAAATTGATTTAGTGCGGGCCAGGGGTGCTTTTCGGAATTGTACGGTATTTCCATCTGTGCATCCATCGATCATCAGTTCGATCATCCGGGTGACCGGGCAATGTTTTTCCGAACAGGTCCAAAAATATCAAAAATCAAAATTTTTAAAATTTGCCTTTAGATTAAATTTCAAGTTCTTTGCCAGTATCTATTGATATTAAACATGCAAATAATATTAAAAACCAAAATAAAAAATATAAATATTTGAAAAATCTCAAATCAAATATACATAATTACCCACCATTAACAAGAGTTGGAAAATTATATAATTGGCTTTTATACATGGAACGGATATCATTTTGCAAATTTAATGATAGTGTTGAAATAGCATCATTTTCTACTTGAAACATTGTTAAATTTCTACTCCAACTTTCCAATTCTTTATATACATCGATTGCACTTGGTCTGTTAGAAGGATTAGCATCCATACATCTGTTTGCTAATTGGACATAGCATTCAGGAGTACCTTTAGCAAACTTTGGACGTAAACCGTGACATATTTTGAGAACTAAAGAAAAATCATTTTCAGAGTCATAAAGATCATAATAAAGAGTATTTCCTGTAGACATTTCAGCGATAATAATACGAAAGCTATAAATGTCCATTTTCACAGTATATAAGCGTTTATAAAACACTTCCGGCGCAATATAAGGTAATACACCATAAATTCCTTTTTCTTCAATTGATTCTTCTTTATTTCTAGACAATCCCAAATCTGCAATATACGTTTCTAGAAGCCCATTAGCATATTCCTTTATCAATATATTACCACTATGAAGGTCACGATGAATATATCCCGCTTTGTGTATTTGTACTAATTCCCACGAGATAAATAAGAGTTGTCTCCATTTGCTGGTTATTTTGGTAAGGGAGGCATTTATAATCTGTAAAAGATCTGGGGTGCTTTAGCAGCTTATCCAGTGGTTGGAATTTCTCTTTTTTATTCTTATATGTAATACAAATTATAAATTAATAAGTATATATTTAATATATATAATAATAAATTTAACTAACATTCTAAGATTTTATTAAATTGTAAAATAAATTTAGTTCTGTATTTGCTAGTCATAAACTTAAATATTTTGATATCAGCACATATACCAATAACTTCTAATTTATCTAAAGGTATAATTTGTAAAGTTGTATTATATTCAAATCCAGAAGTATTATGATAATAATATTCACTCTTATAAGTTTTATTATAAACTGTTAAAAGATCAAATCCTCTATTCTAATATTTTTAAAAATATAATACTATTATATCTAAATAAGATTCGTCTTGTTTAGCAAAACAACTACCTATCTATAAAAATCTCTATAAAATAGTATTTCTATCAAGCTAATAATATCTAAATATTTGTTTCATTTTATTATCACTTAGTGAATTAGCTTTTTAATATATTTTATTATAAAATTTCTTCTAATTCTCATATTATTAAATGAAGAATATCTTGAAAAAAAGCAAATTCAAAGTCACTATATAAATTAAAAGGATTAATTTTTTTAAATCTTTCAATAATGTATTTATTTATTACACATATACTATTGTATAATGAATCTGCTTTAAATTTACTTTTATTATATTTTTTTATTGTAACAACAAATCTTGAAAATAAAACAGCAAGTATTTGTTTACCAATAATTTAGTTGATATTAAAATCAGATTATATATCTGTAATATATTTTTCAAATTATGTAATCTAAAGTTAATTACTTCTTTGAGTATTTTTTGGAACTATAATTTGTTTATAATAACTTAATGTATTATTTGATTGGTATTGGTATTAAAATTTACCAAGCTGTAATATTATTAAATTAGGTTGATATATAATTAAATGAATTGAAATTTCTATATCCCAATTTGATATTATCACATCCCTGGAGATCATATAATAAACAATAATGCATATCAATTTAATACCAATTAGATAATCAATTAATTGTTGAAGACAATGCATACCAACTAGATAATCAATCAATTAGTAAAATACTATTGCTACATGGTAGCACACTTTTGCTTTTGAGACTTTTTGATTTTTAAGAATACTTTGCTTTGTCTAGTTATTGTATGTTGGCCCAAATATTTAAATCTTTCTATTTTAACTAAAATTACTTAAAATAATATAAAGCATTAATTGATATTTCTAGGTATTTACAAGACTAGATATCCTTCAATACTATAGTACTATTCTTCAAGATATATATGTAAATATAAATATTTTTAATTTCAAATACAATTTACAAGATAGCACTTTATAGTATTTTCAAATTTAGATGATACCAAGTCTTTAAAAATTATATAAAAAAAAGATAAACTTTTATTATTTCTAGTATGAACTAGATAAATATATGTAAAATCATAAGTATATATAGAAGAAATAGACTAATATAAACAGAAATTTAAAAGATAGTGCATTTTTTCAATATTAATTTCTTATTATATATCACATATTTTATATTAACAAATACAGATCTACTTTAAAAAAAAAGATTACAAGCAAGAATTGCAACTAAGATAAGTATTAAGTACTGTATATAATGAATATATATATCTTTTGAGATTAACTATATACTATCAATAAGTTCTATAGATAATGTTGATATACTTTAAATCAAATTTTTGTCATATCTGAAGATTTATTTATATAACATGTTTTACTATTGTGACTAGTTTTCTTATATATTTTATATTTCTTGCTACTTAGTCTAGCTTCTTTTAATTCAAAAGCTGATAGGTTTTTTTTAGTAGATACTTAAGTCTTGTTATTCTTGTTTTGGTTGTTCTCGAGTTTGTTATATAATTGGGTCAATAAAAGTATAGATATTTCTTTAATTATTTCTATAAGTTATTCAAGCCACTATTTGTTGAGAAATTAGCTAAGAGTTATACTTTTGAGTGAATTCTTAAAATAATAGTATTAATGAATACTCTATTGCTCTTGATTGGTTTTGTAGAAGCAATTCAAGATCTTTGATCCACTAATAATAATAAACATTATTAATGCTTAATACCTGATTTATAGCAAGATTTTTTTAGATAATATATGCATATAGAAGATCTATATATTTATTGAAAACATTATTACAGAGTTTAAGAGAGTTATTTAATATTGCAGAGAGGTTTTAAGGTGTTGTTTATGAATTTTTCTTAAAGCAAATAAAGAAACTTTAGAAACTAATTAGCTATAGAAAAGAATATTTTGTATATATGGAATATAGGTTTTATTTTTAAATATCATTGCTTTAATTTTATTATATTGGTTTTCTAGTAATAATAAATTTTTTTTATAAACAGTATGTAAATTTCCAGTAAATATTTTTTTAAAGTCATATAGGTATTTTCTATTTGAGACATTGTTATATTACCCAAATGAAAATACCAATCAATCCAAGTGCTAACAAACTGAGTTTTAAAAGTAACTATATATTATTAAGATAGCTAATTGATAAATTTTCATTATATTGAGTAATAACTCTGTCTAATGAGTTTCAAAATCACTTTCTGTCCTTGACTTTACTAAATTTGTTCAATATTAAAAAAGATAATCCATTCTTTCCCTGTAGAAAAATGTTTTTTATATTATTCTAAAATATTTTTTGCTATATACTATCTACAAATAATATTTTTTGATCCTGAAAATATATTTTTAACTGTATCTACAAGTGCCAACACCTGGTCTGTTATAATAACTTTGACTTTTCTATTTTATTAAATAAAGAAAATACATAATTTAATACTTATATATAATCATCTTTTTTTTATCTTTAAAGAATATGAAGTATATAACAAATATTGTATTGAAGCTTGTTATATTAACAAAATCAAGAAGTGGTATTTTGAATTTATTAGTTTTATATATACAATCTATAAATAATACAAAAGAGTACATATGAACCAACTCAATAGATCTATGATAAAAAAAGAATAGATATATTACATAATCTTCAGTATCAAGTTAGTAATTATACTCAAATTAACTCTCTCTAAGTTCTTTTATAAGTTCTTAAATTGGCATATAACCTCTCAAATTTTCTAACTAGATTTTTTTTACAAATATTATAGATATCTCATGATGTTGTTGACAAAGATAGGTAGGTTAATTTGGCAAAGTAAAGATAAAATTTCATATAGATAAAGACCAGAATTTGATATCTCTTTTAATCACTCTTTCCTGTCAATATATATTCAGCTAGAGATGGGCACACGCAGGTTCTACACGTAATCCTGCGCGTGATCCTGCACGTGATGCGCGGGATTTTTTCAGAACCTGCGTGGGATTTTTAATATGACCTCAAATAAAATTATCTGGCCGTCATTACCACGTCATCTGGCTGGCATAAGCATAATACGTATCTGGCAGCATTAACATATTATAAATACTCAAAATAGCGGGTATGGGCAGGGTTGTTAGTGGTAACTTCAGTAATGTTCATTTAAAAATCACTTGGATTAACTTACTGGTAACTTACCAAATAAATTACTATAATTTTACAAACCTGGACATGTGCGTTGTTTCGAATTTTGGCCTGCATTAAGCTTAACTCGGGCCGAATTTCAAAATAACACACATGCCTCTATTTTGAAAATTTACAGTTGAACAAGAAATTTGACTTTCAACAAAAATTTCTGCATAGTTTTATTAGACAAAAAATTAAGAAACCCACAGATTTTTGATCCTATCCTGCACGGGATGCGAATCACGCGCGTGATCTGCACGTGACGTGCGGGATTTTCGGAAATACTGCGATTTGACCATCTCTATATTCAGCACATTCACTAGCCAATTAATCATATTTCAATCAGAATAAACATATAGGGTCTTTGCCCTGAATATCACCTTTTAACATTCTGATCAGGCTAATTCGGACAAAAACAAAGCCATATATCAGTTCATGTTCATATGTAAACTCCCTTGTGTCTTTATAGTTGAGTAGTTTATAAAATTAAGTTTTGAATCAATAAAGATAAAAGAAGATTTAAATATAAACTTTAACTATTACACAGATTTGTTTTTGTCTAAATTAGCCTGATCAGAAATGTTGAAAGATGATTTTCTAGGCAAAAACCCCATATGCAGAATTTATTATTTTCAACTAGAACAGTACTGGACAGTAAGAAACATCCAATTTTTTTAAAAGTGCCAAAATTTGAGATTTATACTCAAATATGATTGGCTATTTTTTGTATAACAAGATTCTGGTTGGTTAAAAATCTATAAAACCAATTTTTTTATATAGTCGACTCTGGATATAACGAACCTTTTTATAACAAATTCACTTTATAATGAACTTTTTTTAGCAAATTTATTATAGAGTTCGGTATAAAAATATAGTAAATTCTCTACAAGGA